CATATGTATGTAATAATATGGATGAAGTAAACTATAAGAGTTGTATTTCCTTTCCTCTGTGGCACTTATACTAAGTCTTGAAAAAATACTTTGAAAACTTTAGGTGTTAAAACAATATTCCCATATATATATTTTTAAAAAGAAAAATTAAGTTATTTTCCTCATGAACGAAAATAAGAGAAAATGAATATTGTATCCCATTACCCAAATAAATTTCAGGTTTCTAGATACAATCATGTATGCTTAATATCAGCTGGTTCTCAGTTTATCATACACAAGTGTGTCACAAAGAAAATAATTGGTGCTGTACTGTTTATAATTAATGTGAGTATAGAATACACCATGTAAACTGATACAGAGGAACATTATACAGATTTTCTATTGATTTAAGACACTCAAGACAATAAATCAATGGAAGTAGGAAGCTGTAATTATCTTTATATGATCTGAGAACATTTAGAATGTTTATTGTCTGTGTGATTCTAAAGACCCACTTGTGAAATGCACACAAACCACAGAATTGAATGTAAAAAAAATACTGTAAAAGATGCAAAATCATCCCTTGAAATGAAGGAAATAGTGCTGTAGTAGAGCTAGTGTTTTACTACCTACAGCATTGGTGGTCCAAGGAGGAAAAAATCTACCATATCTGGAATAGCAAGCTACAATTGTTGGACATTCAAAACAAAAGACAAACTTAGACGGAAAACATCAAAGGAAGACAATTTACATAGTGAAACCTCAAACTGATGAACCCAAATAAAAAAAGTTTCCAAATAAAGGCAACATGACACCCTACAAAATTGGGGAAATAAGATCTAATACATATGGAAAGAATAATATCATTTTCAGATGTTGTTGCCTCAAATACATCCTCACTGCTTGCAAGAATTCTCTGAAATGCTATAAGTGGAGATACAACCAGATGCTGGAGCTTTTACTTAAGCTACAAAAAATCTATTTTTTGAGGGGGGATGGGTCAATTAATTTGATATTTCACAATGTAATTTGTCTTCCTTTGATGTTTTCCCCACTTAGTCTATGTCTTTTGTTTTGAATGTCCAACAATTGTAGCTTGTTATCCCAGATATGGCAGATTTTTTCTTCTTTGACCACCAATGCTGTAGGTTACAACATACACTAGCTCTACTACAACAATATTTCTATAATATAACTTCTCTATCTAGTAATTTACTTCATTCCACATGGGTTGGTACCAACACTTCTTTTTATACATGATCAGCTATGCCTGATTTCATTGTTTAATTATAGCTTTTTGATGTTTTTCCAATGTTAATTTTAAAGGGGCAACTGGTTTACCTTTGTATTCATTGCCATAACTGCAAGAGATGGAATACACACAGTTTTTGGTCATGTCCTCATCTGTACTAGGCTTGACTCGGCAGAGATTTCTCTGTAAGATTGGGCTGTTTCTGAATATTGTATGGATCACAGATCTTCTGGATTCAGATTTATAAAAATGACATTTGTTATTTACAAAGCAATGTAGAAATGTTCTTGACCCAATCAAGTTTCCCTACCAAAAAATTCTGATGTTTGGTCATTTAGTCAGATTTTGGGAAGCAATTATAGACAGAGCACTTTTCAGCAGTGGTTTATTTATAAAAATAATTTTGTAGGTAAAATTTGGAATAATAAGATTTCCTTGGATCACATCTTTTTAAATAAAAGTGGATGGTTTAAAAATTGTATAATTTAATGACACAGGAATTTTTTTTTCTCAAGAATTTATACCATTTGGAAATTGTTTGACAGCTTTTTCTCCTTTTGTATGTATCTGGATTATCATAAAACACATACAACTGAATTTTGTTTTGTTTATTGCTGTTTTGATTGCCAAAAAGTGAATTATACAAAATTAACAAAACATTTTGAATAATCTTACCTATTTTTGCAAATATCTATACCTTTTCAGTAATTTTATTCAGAATCTTAGCAAAAAGATTGGATTGTGGAATTAAAATAAGGTAGTGTACATTACAAGAATGTATTTGCAAATATACCATTTACGCTTTTAAAATTATCCCCAAATTCAAGTTGAGAAAATAAAAATTTAAAAATGAACAGCAGTGATTCTTCTTGATCATATTTAGCTACATCAGTTTGTAGTGTACCAGCAGAGTTAGTGTATAGAAAGTGCACTAAATAAATTCATCAACAGTAAATTTGTGCCCAGGTTCTTACATGTTACTTTTGGCAGATCTTCTACATGGAATATTTAAAATTAAAAACAATAAAAAAAAATTAAAAAAAAATAGCGTAAGGAAACTGAATAAGAAACATCTGATAAAAAATTAAATTTCCACATATTCAGCATTACATTCTGTACAATACATAACTGACGCTCACATTTATATCCCCCTCTTTACTTTTGTTATAAAATAAAATAAGACATCTCGGCTGATTTGCAGGCAAATAAACTAACATACTTAAGAGCGAGAGCTGGATGTGAACGGGACAAGGCCCCGTCACAAAATGACCATTATCGTCGTCTACGCATAAGCCCGACGCACGAGTTCCGGTCGAAAAATAAAATAATATTTTAAAGTGTTTCTATTTTTCGACCAATAAAAATGTTTCTCTCCTAATTATACTCGCGTCGTTTTACGAGCCTGTTAAGCTACAAAAAACGCCATGAAAGTGGTCACACGGGAAAGTACAACCGCAGTCAACAGGAGGCCAGGGAAGAGATCGGTCACGGTCAATCTGAGCAGTCAGCAGCAGTAGCGCCACGTCAACCAGCGAGAACTACTATGAAAGATCAACCCAGGTCGGCAGCCGGCTTATGAACTATACCACAAGGTAGCTGTCCCAAAACCACACGTTCCTATTGAAATAAATCACGTAAATCTATTTCTGCTGTTGTCGTATTTCCTTCTTGCAACTATATGCTTGTCTATAACACTTTCATCAAAAACATTACTTTTTCCGATGAAGTCCTACCTAGAGAATGAAAACTGCATTACATTTTTTCCATTTTGTTTGTCATTCAACTACCTCCCAGCAGTCAAATGTTCCCTCACACCTACTATGTGAACTTTTTGTAGGTTTTTCCTAAAGTAAAATAGAAAATTGCTATTTCAAAATTATTGTTCCAAAATATCAATTCAATTGCTGGGAGTTGGGGGAAGTGAAAAAAATATAATTTTATTTTGAAGTGAAATTTTGATCAATATGAATGCTAATTTATAATCACTTACATTAGAAACAATAGAATGAATACACAGGAATAAATTATTTCTCTAATTAATAAATAATGGGGAAAAAAGAACAGTTTAACAAACTCTAATTTCACAACTTGTCAACAAGTTGGTTCTTGGGGAGAACTGCTATGATGAGTCACCCAGTTTCAATTTAAGAATGAATTAATTACAGTAAATATTGAAATGTCTAAAACAAACTAATAGAAATGTAAGAAGAATGAATGAAAATAAAATGAAATACAATATAAATTTGCAAAAGTAACACCAGTTCCATAAGAAAAGAATGGATTTGCTTTCTTGTAAGTTCTTGTAAGAAACAGCAGCTTGTGAAAAATTATTGAAAACAAGTATGTATTGTAGCATAATGATAAAAAAAAATATCATTGATTTTATTTTATTTTACTAAATATTTTTCCAATATATTTTCTTTCCTATCATATCCTTGTTAATGTACTTACTTACCCAAAGAAGCTTTTCCATTAATCACATAGACTGAAGTACACACAGTACAACACTGAACATTTCAGATAAAAATGAAAGTTAAACAAACATGTTACGACACTCCCTCGAATATATTGTTGAAGAACATAAATATTCGATCATTTCTTTAATTTAATAACCGATTCATTTCAAACTTGATTGTAACATGATGTACATAACAAAATCTTCTTAAATCGAACATTGGAAGTTTCTTGTGTGCCGTAAAAAGTAAAGACTGTAAAAAAAAAGCTTATTGACATCTTCTGGACGCTGTCTGTGACACGCACAGACACACATCAAAAAAAGGTGATTTTTCTCCAAAGTGAAAACGAGTATTCCCACTGTCTTCCAAAATCAAATTCACAAAGGTTTTTTTTAGTTTTTTTTTAGTTTTTTTTAAAATCATTTCAGCTCAAAAACGATAACGTCACAAAAACACAAGAAGGGGCTACACTGGGAGTGAAAGAGAATGGGAAAATTTTTTTTAGTTTAAGAGAAGGAACCGAGAACCTAATCCTAAACTAGGAAACAAGGGATAAACCTAAACTCCTGTTAAAAAAACGGGGAAGGAGTCTGAACCGGGCGATTGGTGAATTTATTTAGTCTTCATATGCTTGATAATGACATGCAAAAAATGTTAAAATTCATTTGTTGACATTTACCAAAAAAAAAAAAAAAAAAAAAAATTTCCCTGTGTCAAAGGCGCACCCCAATATTAACTTGTAAAAAGAAGCAAAATAAAACAAAACTGACAAAGCATGTACCCTTCGTCATGGAAGACCCAGGGTAAATAAATAAATATTATTTCGGAGAAGTAAAGGAACAGTGTCTTTGACGCCGGGAAATACGGTATGTTTTTACTTTTTAACAGCTCAGTGAATATAGCAGCTTGATAATTTAAAAAAAAAATCTACTTAAAGTCTCCTTAAAATATTCATTTGTTGTGTATATCCGGAAAAAAGTTAAGCAAACTACAAACAGGACATGATTGCCATCTGTCATTATTGTCAAAGTAAGATAATCAAAAACAAAACATTTTATTTTTAAAGAAGAAAAATCGAAGTTTGGTAGCACACAACATTTTACCAAAAGATCTGTACTTACTAAGAATTGGAATTTAAAAGATGCGTTACACAATTAATACTTTGTAAATTAATTTTAGATCTTTTTAAACAAATAGACAATTCAATTGAAATTTTGGCCTGTGGTGTTTAGCAAAGACATGTCGATATAGTTTTGCTTTTTTTAGCCAAAAGACTCATTCATTTGATATTTACATTAAGAATTTAAATTTACCTGAATTTAATGCAGTTTTCTGTCTTCCGCGCCATATCACTGATGTTCCGAAATGTTCAAGTTTTGTTTTTAATGGATCTTCCAAATTTTTTGTTTTAAAAAATGATGGCGAGCACTGTAAATTTAAATAGGAGGATAAAATGACTAAAATCAAAGCTCCTATTAAACTCACTGCAAATACCGTACTCAATATCAAGTGCGACATTGTGTCAGGTAATGTTCTCGAGTCAAATACTTGTTTGAATGATTGGAACATTTGGTTATTGATACTTTCGTGCTCCATTATTAAAAACCTTCTACGCCATTTTGTTTCACGAATGATAGGGACACGACAACACTAAAAAACAAACGGAGTTATTAATTTCTAATATTATTTATTTTGCTGTTATTAAATTTAAACACTAAAAAATTAATTTTTTTTTACTTCATATTAAAGTCAGTTATTTTAATTAAAGCCTATTATCCAAAAATCGAATTCAATGTTGGCTTGTAATTTCGTACGTAAACCTTTAAAACGTGTAAACTAAACGGTGTTGTATGAAAGTTATTTCCTAATTTTACAAAATTCCTGTTTTAATTTAATCCATGAAGTAAAGACTGATCTTAAAAACAATTGTTATAATTTGTCTTAAATTACAATAATTTTTACTGTAATTTAAAACAAGATCAATGTTTTGAAAACATGATGATATATTTAAGTTTCTCACATTTATTTTGGGGTTGCAAAACTTAAAATTTGAGTAAAAATGGGGAAACATTGTCATACAGAGAAATAAATGGTATTGATCATAAAAACAAGATGCTAAGTAGGTAATTCTTTTTAATAAATAATGTTATTTTATCTGTTAATTATTATTTCATTTTTTTATTTAAAGTGTAATAATTTAATGTGGAAATTTTTTTTTAAATCGATGTGGATTAAAACTAATATTGTTGTTGAAAAAAAATCAAATCAAATAGCAACAATTTTATGATTGATGTTTATAAAATGAGTTGCAAATAGCATAAACACTCTATCTTTGATAACTAGGATTATCATTATAACAACCCATATGGAGTACATAAAAGAATTTACATGTAAGTCAGCATGATGCATGTAAAATTTATGGATTTGTCAAAGCCAGCTAAAAAGGCTTCTGGAAGAAATCTGACAAAAATAAAAGCATTCATCCATTAGAACAAGATATATTGTCTATAAGACAGCATATATCTATGTTTTTGAGCAGTTTACAAAATGGACTAACTACTGTCAAGTTCATAAACTTTTTATATTTGTACACAGAGCAAGCTTGGCACAAAATGTCAAAAGTATGGTGATAAAAATGATGAAATTAAACATACTATATTGCATGCCAGATAAAATTAACACAAATAAATAAGATGAAACTTTTTTCTTATTGTTATATTAAGTATTTGGTTGTGAGAGAAAGGAATAATGAGGATTAGAATTTGAACATTTATTGTTAGTATATACATGGTGTCGTACAGATACTGCAAAATAGGTGCAATGTTTGTTTATGGTGTATTGTCAGGATGGTTATCAGGCTTAAGAAGAAAGCTGGGAGTTGACCTATTCTTTGTGTTGGCCAAGGTCACAGGTTATTGTCAGTGTATGTGTTGGTTATGCCAAGGTGATGGGTGTGGGTTGCCAAGGTGGGTCCCAGAGTGGTTAGTGAAGCTACCAGTTTGACTATAATGATACAGGGGTGCAAGCATGAGTAGTCAGGAGAAGTCACAAAACTGACTTTGTTGATGCCGAGGTGATGGCTGTGAGTTGCTGAGATGCTGTCATGCTGAAGCTGGACAGCCAAAGTGGCCAGTCAAGCCAGTGAGCGATAACAGTTGGTGAGAGGAGCACTCATGTTGAGAGGTGGTGTTGATAGTGATAGCAGTGGTGGCAGCAGCACCACCCACATTCCAGCCAGTGATCTACTGGGCTGCAACTGTCCTGGTCATTCCCAAAGATCAGCTTTTAAGCAGGTCTGATAGTCCCCAGGGGCATCTTTTTTTCTGACAGAAACATTCATGATTGGCCACTGCCAGAGCTCCCCTCATAGACCATGATGCATGGATCCTATGCACAGAAAATGATTTTTTTTTATTTCATTCTCTGCCTTAATGGCATTCACATCTGGCAGAATGACTCAAAAAAAGATCTAATTGCAACAGAGTATATCATTATTGATCCTTCTTCAACAGTTAAACTAAATTGTGACAATTCAAAAGAAAAAAAATAACATCAGAGGAAATCCACATAGCTGCAATTTAAAAAATAGATAAAAAAAGAAGCTATTCAAATATTCAGAGCAAGGAAAATACTGCATTTCATAATTTTAACATAACTTATTCATTTTACAGTCATCAATACAGGAAAAAAATATTGCAGATAACAATCCTACCTAAACAGGCAAGCTTTCCGAACCTAATAGGCTAAAGCATTTTCCATGAAAAACAAGCTACCTGTTATTCATATTATTATTATATCCAGATGTAAGAAAAGTAATAAACAAATAATAACACGGAGACCAAAATTTCCCATTTCTAAAAATAGATAGTTTTACCAACTAGTCAACAATGATATAAGACCACAAGCCAATGAGAAGCAAGCAACCTTTTCAAAGCAGATCTATAGATGTAAATAAAGACAAAAGGAAAACTTAGCTGACAAATTTCGTCTTCTGAGGGACTTTACAAGGTTATAATTTTGTAACAAGTATTTATATACAAGAGCAAAAATGCTATTAGTTTTTCAAAATTTTAAGAATGTTCATAAATATTTATCAGGTGAGCTGAAAAATTTATAGATGTGTATATAAACAGATGAAAAATTAACCCAAATCACAGTTGATAAATTAATTTTCACCATTCTCCGATGCGGCAGTCATCATAACATACTCAGAAACAAATAGTGAAGCTTGGGTTACTGTTTTAGATATTTCAAAGGCATTTGACAGAGTTTGGTATGCTGGTCTTCTTCATAGGTTGAAAGGTTATTGTTATGATATGAGATTGTACACATCTAAAGAAATAAGTCACACACGATTTACATTTGAATCTGCCAGGTGACATTACAAACAGTGAGATGACTGAAATGTGGCAAATCTTTATTGCAATTCTGAACATCTGAAAACCACTGCACACAATCCCAGTTCGAATGGATTATTTGAGAGATGTCATCGATATTTAAAAACAGCACTGACAGCATTAACTGACAAAACAGACTGGGTATAAAATTTAGCTTTAGTGTTACTTTTTATACAGAATACAATAAAATATAACCTTTGCTGCACACTAGTTGAACCCACTAACCCTTCTCAGTCATTTTTTAGTAGCAACAAACACCTAGTATCAATAACATTCTTCATCCAAGCCCTCAAGGTAAGAATCTTGTTTGCCAGAGGACATCGATTAACACCCATTAGATGGTGTGGTAATTAGCAAACAAAAAGGACAAACTTTCTCTACAGGATGCAGTAGTAATAGGATGTTCCATCCCCACTGGAGAAATAGTCTTCTGACAGTGACTTTAATTTCAACCAAAACATGTGGCAAGGTATAGTAGGACTAATAGTCTTACTAGTGTATAAATGGCACATTATAAACAGGCTATAATCAGAATGCCCTACCATCATGGAAATTTTAACCTGCACTAAAATCTCTTTAGCCACATGCTCCACAACAGTGACTGCTCCATCCAATTTGTCTTCCATTACATCCAGCAATGAGACTTTCATGCAATATTGCAAGCATATGATCTGCTTATTGGACCTCTTCTTGACAGGCATACTGAACATAACTTTGATTATGCTGTAATTGTTCTCCCTCACTTTAGAAATGGGATCAGTGAAAATATAATCCAACCGAATGACTAACTTCATTTCTGCTGGAGAATAGCTGATAGACATCTCATAAGAGCATCAAGTATGGATGTTACATTTTCATAACATTTTTGAACAGTTGGACATTTCCAACAACAGCTGCAACATCTTTGTCTATACCCGGCCACCACACAAACCCATGTACAAGCAACTTCATTCTTGATTCACCATGATGTCCTACATGTAGTTCCTGTAATATTTACTGGTTGCCTGATAGGTATATTATTAAAAGTTCAATCTACAAAAGATACACATCCAGAAGACTAAGTTTATTGCACCTATATGTTGATGGGTGTTAGGCATCAGCATTATTATTATCACTGCCCAGTTTGTGCTTGATGTCTTATGTGCAACCAGTAATAAAAACCACCTTTGCAATTATGCAGATATTATTTGTGATAAACTTTTATTTCTGAATAAGCCAGTGTTTGTGCTCTATTTATATGGTAAAATGATGGAAATATATGTATTTGTTAAACTTTATCACCCCAAACCAAATGTGCATTGCTTCTTTGTCAAAATGAGAATAATTTCTTTTTGCTGCAATCAGGCTGCTTGACACAAAACATACTGGGTATTCAAATCTATCAACCACTTGAATGGCGCTCAAGTTGTATGGTGATGCATCACAAGTCAAAACTAGTGGTTGAGATGAGTCATAGTGCACTGATGTTGCTTGTAGCATATCTATCCGTTTCTTTTTTGAAAGCATTCTCTTGAAATCCAAAGAAGAATATTTGTCATTGTTATTAGTATCTTGTCTTCAGTCACTTTCCCACCACCATAATGTAGCTTCCGTGTAACTTTTCTATAAATACTTTCATGGTAATTATTCAGATAAACTTTCCTTTATGGTACATAAACTTTATGAATTTAAGCACACTACTATATTGGTGGCAAGGTCTCATCATTTTACAGCTTAAATGGCTGCTAGATGTATCCATAAAATCTGTTGTAATGTAGAAAAGGTTACTGAATGAGTAATAACCAAAATGGAGGTTGGAAATGAAATGGTAATCTTTATAACATCAACAAAATACAATACTTGCCAGCGGCATGAAGTAGGTAAACCACTGTTAGTGGTGGACTACTTAGACAGTATATTACACCCACTTACAATAGTGTCCAACATATTTATGAATATTGGGACATATCCATTAGTGTTCTTAGATATAGTATATAACAAGATCAATGCTAACAGTTCCTTCTATTGCACTTCTCACTTGGTTACTTGCTT